ATATGGTGAAGGTGGGTGTGCTTTTATCAGTTACTGTAATTTTGACAATTATTCACTTCCACCCCCCTGTGGATGTTTTTTTTACTAAATGCTGGTAAACTGAAACCGGAGCTAAGAGGAGGATAAAAATTCATTTCCAGCCCTGCTTAGCAGTTGTTGTAGAGCTGCTGTTTAGTGACATTTAAAAAATAAAACAAAACAAAACAAAACAAAAGAAAAAACATCACACTCTTGAGGTTTGAATAAACCACAGGAGCCCTCCAAGGGCATCAGTGGTTGGGATGGTACCTGCCCACACCATGTACCCCTGCCGTGACCCAGCATCTACATTACAAGGCATCTGCTCCATAGGCACTGCTCCTGGGTGCCTTTACAAGGTGACCAGCTCTTTACAAGATGCCTTCACTTGGATCCCCCTATTTGCCTAACATGAAAAAAATTAAAAAAAAGCAAACAAGCAAACAAACCAAAAGACCCCCAAGACCCCAAACACAAATAAGGCAGATTTGAAAAGAAAAGATCTTTAATCACTGTAAAAGCCCTTGGAATAATATTTAATGTTTTACCCTGAAGCCGGCATCAGAACAAAATGCATTGCTGCGTTTAGTATGTGCCAGGCATGCAAGTGCAGATAAATACTTAAATCTGCTGAAATTAGAGGGAAATTCAATTGGACTTTCACATTCCTATGCTCATTTGTGAGCTAGGCGGAAAAGTCTTAAATGGGAAAATTTCATCTTGCTTTGCCGTAATGAAGTGGAAGTTTTTAACACCACGGTAGGAGCTAACACTGTAACGCTACCTCGCCTCTCTACCTTATAGATCAGGTCAGAGAAAATAGCATTTTATCTTATAATGAGGATACAACACCGCGCGTTCGCCACCGCATTTTAGTATTCCCATCAACTAGATATTCTAGATCATAAGGGCAGCTCATGTAATCATAATGTCAATGAGAAGGGCTGTTATGACTGAGACTAAAGATTACATGGAAAAAGCTGCTTTGAAACTGGTAATTATTACCAGTCCACTAATAGCAAATGATGCATTACAGTTTCACCGTATAATCTGTATTTCACTCAGCTCCTGCCGGTACGGCCTTATTATATTATAGCTCTCACAGATTCTAAACTCCTAAACTACAGTCATCAATAAATGTGTTACTTGCCATAATTTGCAAAATTACTTTGTTCATAACAACTTTGGCTGTTATAAAGACTGGAATTGATTTCCTGCATGGCAAAATTAGGGCTACATTGATTTAGTGGAGTGTAAAATGTAATATTATTCTTCATTTGCTTGCCGGAAAAACAAGTTTTCAATTCACCATCCGCATTTGGTAATCAAGATAATAATTTAAATTTAAAATCATGTTTATGTACAAAACTTCCCTAAACAGCCCATCATTTTCAAGGGAGCAACGTAAAACCAGGCAATAAAACAAAGCAGCGAAACAGTTAAAAAGTCTCCACCTCCTGCTTTGAAGAGACACGATTTCTAATTTGTCTATTAGTGCTTGATTAATTATGAAGGCTATTGACTGACCACATCACCACCTAGAGATACGTTCCAGTCTGATGCAGTCTTGCCAAACTGCAAGAATTATGGCACTAATCCACGCCTTGCCCGCTAGAGGCGAGACGCGTCCTTAGACCGCTCCGGTAAACCCTGGTTTTTGGAAGGGACTCGCCTTTCCTTCCTCCCATCCCACCACCACACTTCGTGGTACAGCGTTTGAGTCCCCCCAAAAGCGGGACAAGATTGTAGGACTTGAAGGCTGTGGATTCATTGATGTCTAGGAGACTAGGAGTTTTCAGACAATTTCCAAGAGGCTAGCAAGAATCCCCCAGATCGAGATGCAAAGCGGGTCACTGCCAAACTAGCCCTCCTTGGCCATCAACAGCAGGGCTGGAGCCCACGTCCTCAGCTGCTTTGCACTGAGGAATTTAAGACCAAAAGGAACCACCGGCTCTCATTTTCTGACCTTTCCCACAACATATGTCACTTAGTTGTCCTGCACCGTGACCAACACGATGTCATTGGGTTGAATGTGACCTCCTCCAGACCCGCAAACCATCTTTAGGTCAAAGCATGAAATCCCAGTGAAAACCATTCAAACCAGCTCCATGCACCCCTTGCTGGCGCTGTTGGTTCCCACAGCTAACCACACTCACAGATCGGTACCCGGGGTCCACCTGAATTTCTCTGGCTCCAACATCTACCTGTTCCCTTCTTCTGCTGAGTTTTTTCGCCAATATACTGAAAAGACCCTTGGTATATAGTATGCCCCCCCACCCACATCAAGCTACATAAGTACCCTGAAATCAAGGCATGCTTCAAGATACGGTTATTTTTCCACCCTGAAGCCACTCCTACGTCCTCCATTACTCAAGGACCATCCTAGCCCAGCATCGTGCTGGGAAGGAGTTGGTTTTCCACCAAGCCTCCCACAGAGTTGCTGCCTTCTGGAGTACACTACATATGGCCCCAATTCTCCCCTTCTAGCCAAGCAACATGGCAGGTTGTATCCAACCATGCTCTCAACACACCCCACTTGACAATCTTTCCAAAGCACCCCGTAAACCCACCCCATCAGCTCTTCACCCGTCTACCTGCCGTTGCTTTATCCACAACATTAATCAGTTGCAATTGCATATTCATTTCTAAATCACCAACAAAATGCTAACCACCACTGAGGCTCCCACCAACACTTGCTGACCTCTCCTATCCACTGGTGTTTCTCCAGCTAAGCCCCCACACTCCCAAATCCATTGGCCATCTCTTAATCGTCCATGCTAGCGATACCACCCAGTGCTCAGTTTTCCTGTACACAGTGTCACACAGCGCCATGTCCAATGCCTTGCACTGTCTATTTCATCTACATTTATCGACCAAGGTTGTCATCTGGAAGATTGAAATCAAGTTTATTTGACAAGATCTATATTACATAAATCTAAGCTGAGTGGCATGAATTATATTTCTATCCTTTAATTCTTTATCTGTTGAATCTTATATAGTCTCTTGAATTATTTTGCCCAGAAGAGATAAGTGAAGTGTTGCCAACTCTTCCATAGTTACCCCAACCAGCTCTTGATGGCATTTTCCCAATCCATAAGCTTTATCAAAAATCAGTATCACATGCCATCTCTTTAGGGATTCTTGGGTACAAATTGTCAGGGCCTTATAATTTAAAAATATTTATCTCCATTGGACCTCGTTGTATAAAACCCTCCTTGGCTACTAGTGAGCTAGAAAACACGTCATCACCTGCCTGTGATACAGAACAACGCTGCTGCTTTCCAGGTCTAGAGCAGAAATTTTTATTAAAAATTTCTACCTTACTGCTTCTTCCACCCATCACTTCTAGGGCTTCTCTTTTCTCCAGGATACTGAGAAACTCTCCTCTTCTCCCCAGCCGTGCCAGGTACAAGCTTTCCACAGAATCTTCAGCTCCCCTGACCAGTTATCTACCCATCACGGTTTCTCACTGTGATTGATGGCTATCTATTTTCCATTTTTTTTTAATTGTCATATATTGATTTAAAAAAAAAAATATTTAATTGCTGTTGTCATCTCACTGCTGAAGTGGGTGAAGTGAGTTTTGGATTTGGGCCAAAGTTGCCCTCTCCTTCCTGGACAGTTCATCGAGTCTTTACAAATAGCTTCCAATTACCATTTGCATTTTTCACGCATATATTTTTCCTCCCAGTCAATTTTACTGCTCATTTTCTTCGTATCTGGGAAACTACCCCTTTAGGAGAATTACATGGGGATACCATGTACCAAATACAAACATGTGGTCAATATGAAACCTGACTGGTCTAACCCAGTGAAGTCTCACCCACTGTTACGTATTTACTCCTTTTCTACATCACAGACAGAAAAGGACTAGTGGCAGGGCACGGCATTTCTCTACAGCACAAATGCTTATTGTTTGTCAAGTAATTGGCTCCTGCTGGGGGGGGTGGGGATGGGGGGGGAAAAAAG